ATAGTGTCCACTGATCTATATTCAGCTTCAGTACAACAGGTAAGATTGTTAAGAAATGCACAATATTCGGAACTAGACCTTTTTTTAGGATCTCTTACCCAATTTGCACGCAAAGAAGCTACTATAACAAAAGGTTGTTGATTAGCTAAGTGTGAAAAAAGGAAAAGAAAAGAAGAAGAAGAGAGATTCTGGTTAAAGGTGTGGCTATGTGGAACTAAAGGTATTAAATTCAAAAAAAATTTCTTTTACTTTTATTCCAAATACTTGAATTCCACTTACATGGGTCACAATATGTTGCTGGAAAATTAAAACAGTGCCCTAGATACAACCTAGGACCTTTATTTTTACTGCCAAGAGAAATAGAAACTATCTTGGAACTTTAGACTAACTTATTACATTTTTTAACACTACAAGTTTGTGGAAATTTACAGAAAATAGAAAAAAAAATTAAAATTAATTGTAAGAATTATTGGAAGATGCCTGAAGTTACCAAACTAGGACTTGGTACACTCCACACCCGATTCCCTGACCAATGCACACTTTTTATCCTTAAAGTGTTACTGGATAGTCTAAGATAGGGAAGATTTGTAGGCAATCTTTATCTAGGGTTTTAGAGAGCTTAAAAATAAACTAGGATTTATACAAACCCTGTGGGAACAAATTAGGGCTGATCTAGTAAGTTGATCTCTCTGTAAGGTGGTCTTTTCTCTTCTTTCAAAAATACAACAAAACTGTTTTTAATTTCCTCTTCTTTTCCTTTAAAAATAAACTACTTAAAATAAAACAAGACAGAAGGAGAGAAAAGAGTATGCGACTCTCTAGCATGGAGAGAGGTTGGCGTGATGTCCAAAAGAAAATAGGAGAGAGAGAGAGAGAGAGAGAGAGACATGAGAGAGAGAGTGCTTTCTGTTTTCTTGTGCGTGGAGGAAAGGGAAGAGAGTGCGTGAGAGAGAGAGGATCTTTGGGCGAGAGAAAAGATCTTTTTGTTTAGATCTCAAATAGGTCCAAACTAGGTCTTTAAATAGAAGTAAATCTTGAAGAAAACCTATCCCCTAGTTTGAATAGGATTTGCCCTATCTAATTTACGACTAAATCTTTTAGGATAAATTGAGAGATTTAATAAGAGTCATCCATCCCAAAAATCAGCTACAATGGTTTTGGGTGGAAAGAATAAGAACCTTATCCCCTTACAATTTGACCCTATCCACTCCTATTTAAAATACATCCAATAAAATTTAAATTTTATACTTTTTAAATTTGAAATCAAACTTATATATTTCCTATATAAATATTATTTAGATTTCTTACAATATTGGGAAACCATATCTCATTAGATTTCCCATTTTAGATTTAGCAACTTTAAATTTCAAACAAATAATGGGGCGTGCCCTATTTTACCAAGAAGGGGGGTTTAAAAGTGGCGTGCCACTATTTTACTAAAATAGTCGTGTGTTGCATGCCATCTATTTAAAATATTTTAAAAAATGTAAACTATTAATAGAGGGCGTATCCCCCTTGTTCCACAAATAATGGTGTGCTACTATTATGCTTTACAAAAATAGGGCGTGGCCGCTAGGGTGCACGTGGTCCCACATGTGGGTTGGATCCTTGGTCCCACATGTGTTATTTAAAGTTATGAAATTTCAGAAATACCCTTTTATGAAAATCTACAGCAGAAAATAATATTATAAAATTCTAAAAAAATATTTAAAATAAAAACCATTTATAATACCAAAAAAATATATACTAGGAGTGGACTGATACCAATGGGTCAAAATAAGCGACACTAAGGGCACTCAACTCGCCTAAAAAACTATGATCCATTACTGTTTTCTTATCCAATCCAACAATGTCTCTTGACCCACAGTCTCTTTACAGGGGCTCATGATTGGCTTGTCAAAGTTGGATGATAAACAATGGGACCATAATCTTGGAATGTGGATTTCAATTCCCCCCTTTAAGAGCAAATCAAGCATTTTTCACCAAAGTGCAAAGGAGGCTCTCTCAATGCATATGTACACAGGTCCTTCTAAAGGGCTGCTTCCCATACAATTGTCCTATGTACATGCCTTGTGGAAGTTTGTTGAGGATTTGACCTTGCTCTCCTAGGTCTACAACCCTGCACAGGAGACCACCACACAGTTCTTCTGGCATACAAACATGACCGCTGGGTATCTCTCCGACCTCAACAAGGGATGACCTTATGCAAACCCTTCTCAGTAGTGCCACATGCCCAGGGCCAAGGGTTTTTGGACAGAACTAGGGGCATTAACCACCCAACTTTTGGTCAGTCATCACACACACTCGCATTAAAGTGCATATTTCACTATACACATCATTTTTACAAGCTCTTTAGGCCTTTGTAGGCCATAAAACCCAACATATGGGTCCCCTGATTATGCTGAGAATATCTTTTATCCTTGTTTTGATACCATGTGAAAAATGAGATTATATTTTGGAGAGAGAGAGATAAGCTGCTCATTGTTCCACGCCCTTTTTAGATTGGTGGGACGATCTATTAATTCCATTTAAAATATTATAGCTTTAGGGCATGATATTCATTAAAAACCTAGAGAGAGAGAGAGAGAGAGAGAGAGAGAGAGAGAGAGAGAGAGAGAGAGAGAGAGAGAGAGAGAGAGTAGTAGTACGTACGTAGTAGTAGTACGTAAGTACGTAGTACGTAGTACGTACGTTACGTAGTACGTATACGTACGTACGTACGTACGTACGTAGTA